AGATCCAGAGAGGGAGAGCGACTGTGTGCTGAAGACTGGGGGAGGGCCTGGGGGCAGGCTTGCAGGGTATACCCTTTGGTTGGTTGATGATGCATGGAGGGGATTGTAACCATGGCAAGGAAGAGAAACACGATAGAATGAATGTAAAACGAATGTTCTCCCATGTAAACTATCACACAATTCACAATAAAACATTAAAAAAAACAGGTTGGAGGAAACAGAATGCTGTAGGCCATAATTTGTCAACTTTTCACCTAAATCTTTAATAGTCAGTTATAAACCGTAGTTGCATAAAGTCATTTATTCTGATCATCAAATAACTTTTGGAAATCTGTGTACTAAGAATTGCACTAGAGATGCAGAAATAAATTTTTAAATGCATTTAAAAAACAAAATGCTGTGTAAGAAAGGTCTTCTGAAAAATAGCCAGTGTCAACCCTGATGGTTTGGATTGTCAGCCCATCCTACAACTGGTTGGTGAATTGGGCCCCTCTTTGTTTCTTTCCTTTTGTTTGACTCAGTACTTTTTCCTGGGTTTTTGTCACAAGTGTCGGGGCTTGAGGGTGTGAGCTCGCCCTGTATAACCACTTGAGTGAGGGCAAGTCTTCCCTAATCAACATTACTTTTCACAGGTGGAAGGCTGAGCCTCTCTTGTGAATCTTCATCATTTGTTTTAGATGGTAAGTTGTCACTGCCCACTGAAGAGAAGGAAAACAATTGTAGGTAGGAAGGTCTGGGGGCCTAAGAGAGAGTGAACATAAAATGCCCAGGGACGAGGGATGCCCAGCACTCAAGGGCAGAGGACTCTATGATCCAGGGCTGATGTCATGGGTTGAGTTGTGTCCCTCAAAAAGGTATGTTGAGGTCCTACCTCTGTACCGGTGAGTGTAAGTTATTTGGGAATGGAATCTTTGCAGATGTAACTAGTTAATATGAGGTTATACTAGAGTAGAGTGGGTCCCACACCAATAGGACGGGTGATGTTAAAAAGGAGAAGAGGCACAAAGATGCATGCAGAACAAAGATGGTCATGTGATGCTACAGTCAGAGATCAGAGCGATGTGTCAACAAGCCAAGGAACTCCTGTGGCTACCAGCTGCTGGAAGAGACCAGGAAGATTTTCCTCTAGAGCCTTTGGAGAAAGCATGGCCCTGAAGACACCCTGAGTTTGGACTTCTCACACCCAGATCTGTAAAAGAACATAGTGGTACTTTGTCACAGCAGCCCCAGAAAATTCATGCAGATGCAAAGCAACAGTTGTGGGTTCACCCCTGAGAGGCTGTATATGGCTAGGTAGGTACATAGAAAGGAGCAGACCCATAAAAGCATTGTGCTCTGGATGTCTAGGGTTGGGTATACACAGGTATTAGACATAGATGATCTCTCACCTGGAGTAATCCTTCCTTTCTGGATGAGTCCAGGAAGGGCCATGGCAGGGCCAGAAGGGCTGGGTAGTTCGCCCAGGATCACATCACTTTGTTGTGTGAATGTCACAGACTGGCTGACCCTCCGTGCACAGGACAGATGATTTGATGGTGGGGGTAGGAGCTGTGGCCGTTGTACCAGGTATGGGAGTGGAGGTCGAATACTGGAGCTCCCTTCTGCTGGGTCACTTGGGACTTCAGTCAGGATTGGTGTGGTTGTATTCCACTCTCCAAGGACAGAGGCAACTGGGATTAGTGAATGAGCACACATAAGCAAATTATAGACTAATAATTACAAATATGGAGCATGGAAATTCTTCCTACATAATTTCCAATTGGATAGATGCATGGAGTCATTCTTTTCACTTTCCCAGGCATACATAATCAGACTAATTCTCCTGGTTGGTCCTCCTGTGACTCCTTTCTATTTTGTTTATTTTATTTGGGTATTCAATGTTACTGTAACTGCACTTAACCCATGAATTAGTGCCAAAGTGGCTTCAAGTATAAAGTTGGATCTGACTTTGTATCCAGGAATTTTCTTTATTTTATTCCTAAAGTTTGCTTTCATATGCAGAAATATATAAAACTTATTTATTCCTTCTAGATTTTCAAATTTATTAGAGTGTAATTTTTCATATTATTCTGTTATTATCTTTTTTTTTTTCTGTTGGTACTTTTGTGATGTCACCCATACGATTTCTTATGCATGTTATATACTGAGTTCACGTTGTTTGTGCATTTTCTTGTCAATTTCTTCACTGCTGTTGGTTTAATGTTTACAAAATCTCCATGGTTTTCCTTTTTCTTGATTACAGGATAACCTTAAAGAAAATTTTCTTAAATGCTACCCTGTAACTTATTAATTTCTTCCCCAGGTTAAAATAGTCTGTTTTTCTTGAAATACATTTAGTTGTTCTGTAACTATACTTTTCCCTACTTGCTTTATCACAGTCTTCATTATAAATGGATATTTCTGATTCCCTATTTTCAGTCTATATCTGGATTGAATTCTAGGTGATGTTGCCCTGTATGTCAACCTCTGGTTGCTGTCTGCTATTGTTGGTTCTTAGCTCAAATGACTCCCTTTAGTAATTTTGTTTTTTTTCAAATTCCTTTAATATCTGTTTATCTGGATATGTTCTAATTTTGCAACTGTATTTGAGGGACAATTTTTCTGACTCTATGATTCTTGGTTGGCATTTTTTTTTTTCAGAGTCTTGTGGATGTCTTTCCATTGCCTTCTTGTTTGCATGGTTTCTGCTGAGAAATTAGAGTTTAATATTACTGGTTTTCTTTTCTAGGTAACTTTCCACTTTTCCTGAATGGCTTTTGGGCTTCTTTCCTTGTCTTTGATTTTGGAGAGTTTGATTATAATATGGCTTGGTGATTGTCTTTCAGGGTCTATCCTGTTTGGGGTTCATTCAGCTTCTTGAATGGTTATCTTCTCCTCTTTTGTGATGTTAGTGAAATTTTCTCCCAACAGTTCATCAACTGTCTTTTCTTTGTCTTTTCCTGTTCTAGAATTCCAATTATTCATAAGTTAGTCCATTAATGTTGTCCCACATAAACCTTAGACTTTCTTCAGATTTTTTCATTCCTTTTTCTGATTGTTCTTCTTGCCTACTATTCTTGATTTATCTCTAAGCTCACTAATTCGGGCTTTCATTAACTTAAATCTATTCCTTTGTCCAAAAGATAAGTAAATAGTAAAGAAAGAAAGAAAAGGAGAAAAAAAAAAAGCAGACAGCTGCTAGCAAAAGAATACAAAAACCAAAGACAGAAAAGAGGGAGAGGAAAATAAAATAATAAAAAGAGAAAATTAAAAGATATAAAATAAAAAGAAAGAAAAAGACCTAAACACAATTGGAATGAATAAAAAAGGAAAGAGACCAGAAAGTAGTAAGAAAAATGTTTTGAAGGATAAAAAAATAAGAAGAAAGCAAAAACCATGATTGAGAAAGAGAAGCAGAAAACAAAAGGAGAAAAAATGAAAGGGGACACAGAAAGAAGTGAAAGCAAGATAGACAAGGGTGAGGGAGAAAGAATAAAGAAACAAAAACATGAAAGGGAAAAATAAATAAAACAGGGTAGGTTTCGGAGCCAGAGAGAAGAAAATTTTGAGGTCTCCTGACAGCCATGGACCTCACATAACGGGTAAGAAAGGGATGACACTCAACTGTAGATGGAGTTCCTGTAGGGCTAGGTGTTGTCTGTTCTGGGCACCCAGCCAGACGTAGCTCACAAAGACCCCAAAGCAGCTGGCATGTCAGGGTACTTCCATCCTAAGGGAGCTGAGGGTGAGAGGTACTTCCAGTCCAGGGCTGACCAGAACCATCTTTGAAGGTTTGGAATAGGCCACATCTGATTCCAGGTGCCAAGGTTGGTGCTAGTAGTTCCCCATGCTCTTAGATAAGACATCCACAGCCCAGAGAGAAGGAGATTCCCTGGGAGTGTACATAGATTGAGGCTGCCCACACACCTCTAATCACTGGGGTAATATGGAGTACAAGAAGAAAAGGAAAATAAATTCACCCCTTTCTGTCCACCAATAGATGGTATGCCTCTGTGCCACCTACTGCCCTCTTGCCTTCAATGTCACCTGTGAAAATTCAAGATGGCCACACCACAGTTAGCCTGGCTCTAGCACAGATAAGCAATTTCTTTTCTGTGTTGTGTTTTTTCCCACTCCCCTTCACATCTGTTCAGCTGCTTCTCCTAGTGAGAACTAGTCTAAGGCTGGCCAGGGCCGACTCTGCAGATTTGGAGCAGGGCCCGCCTGAATGGGATCCCTGAAGACAACTCCCCCTCCTTTAATGGAGTCAACTGCTATGAGAGAAGGAGCTTTCCTGGTAGTGTATGCAGGTGGGAGCCAGCCTTGCCTCTTATAACCAGAGAAGTGTGTGTAACAAAAATAAATCACACCTTTGTCTCTGTGAGCCACAGGTATATTTCTGCAATACCGATAAGCTTTCTTGTCTCTGAAGATGCTCACAGAAGCTCAAGGTGCTGCACTGGGTGGGATTCGTTGGCACAGGTCACTAATCTCTCCTTGTTTTTCCATGTCTGGTCAGCTCACTCTCCTAGTAAGCATTCAGTCCACTTCTCTATCCTTCATCTGAAACTCAGAGTTCCAGAACTCTCTCCTGCATTGGTTTCACTTAATTTCCTGTCTTTGTTGTAGAGACGTGTACAGCTTTTCTTCCTAATCCGCCATCTTGCCACCTCTCCACACTTGCTTCTTTCTCTCCAGCTGTTCCATTGTTCTTCTTTCTACTCACTTTTTTTATCCAACTGTCTCTTAATGGACTCAGTGTACTTCAAACTCCATTTCTCACACCCTCTTTTTCTGTCTCTGTCCCTTCTCTTCCTCTTCAGCCACCTACCTTCTCTCTTTCAGCTTTACAATCTGGCTTCCTGCTCACCCTTGTTTAGGAGAGTGGTTAAAATCTTGTGGTCTGGCATTGGGAGACTGAATCATAACTCCTGGCTCTGCCTCTTAACAGAGTAGTAACTTCGGGGAAGTTACCTCTGAGCTTGAATTTCTTTATCTGTAAAATGGGATAGTAATGACTTCTCAGGATTGTTTGGAAGATAACATATGTTAACAACATGCAGTGCTTGGGACAAAGCCTGGCACATAGGAAGCACTCAAAGGAATGACACTATTTGTCAAAATCCATTTCTTGTCCTGTCAGACTCTCCTTGTCCTTCCATCAGGCATGCTCTGTATAACTTTGCATTTCCCAAGGATCACTTTGTCATTGTACATAAAAAAGACTATTTATACCCTAAGCTGTATGGTTTCTCCCAAATTCATGGAGCAGGTAAGCAGAAGTGTTTTTTGTCCATTAGGAATTCACCAGAAAACCAGGATCTGAGTTAGCAAGGGGCTGTGCTTCCTGGCACACTGATAGAGAATACAGACTAAACCTTCCCCAAAATAATGGAAAATAGTCCATTGAACTAAAAACAAACCAAACTTTTCACATAGAAAATTTTCACATGGTTGTACAACCCCCAAAAGTATGTGTGAACTCTCATTACCACGTCTGAAGCTCTTGTAAATCTTCATTAGATTGGGGTATTCTTGCAGGTTAATTGGGCTGAACAAGGCCATCAGAAGTGGCAGGTTAAACGTTCCCTCCAGTTTGGTGAGAGTATTGTGCACCACTCTGGATACAGGGACCAAATTTTGGCAGGCTTCCACACATTCCTTAAGAAATGGAACAAAGGGTTATCAGAAAACATTACACAGCTTGATAGAGGGTGACTATATATTTGGGGTTTTCTAAGTTCTCAGAAAGCAATTTCACTCTCTTAAGAAGGAACATTTATCATAAACAATAAAGCGTACCTGCTGAAGTCTAACTTATGTATAACCAAACACCTCATGGAATTGCTTCCTTGATTTGGAGGCTTAGAAACATAATTTTATGGAACATTCCAGTTAACTGGGCTAATCATTGTATAGGTCTAGGATCTTGAAAGCTTGCAAGCAGCCACCTAAGACTGAAAAAAAAATGAGCTATGCTTGCCCAGAGTAACAGGAAGTAAGAGAGTCAGGATTAGGAGGAAGATACGGAATTTGTGACTAATTGCCTCCATGAACAACTGGATGGTGCCATTAGTGGCCATTTTGATCAAAGATTCTTCAAAAGAATTCTTATCAGAGGGGAGGAAATGCAGAACAGAATTAAAAATTATAGGAAATCTAGACTTTCTGCAGTTATGGAAGCCAGATAATTGTCATGCGTATTTGATTTTCATAAGCTTCTTTCTTCCAGGAAGGGAGAGACCAATAGTTACACCTTATTGACTGTTCATGAGTTTTTAAGACCCCAATTGCAAATTAGGATGTAGAACATAGTCTCTGTGGACTATGTTATGCCTACTGATCTAGATGTCTCTTGAGACTATGATCCTGAGCCCCTAGACCCAGAAACTCATCCTCTCAAAGTGTCTGGTTATGTCTAAGAAGTTTTAAAAACTTTTCCTGTACAGCACTGTGTTCCTTTAAGAACTGTCTACATAGAACTGCTATGCATCTGAATCTACTCAATGGCAGTGGATATACAGGATTAAATTGACAATAGCAACTGGGAAAGCAGATAGGAACCTTAGGGGCTAATGAATTTATGTTACTGCGGGAGGAACTACTCAGAGAAGGAAGGTTCGAATGGCTGTTCCACTCAATGTCACCAATGTCATTGAAGTAGAAACTGTGGAATTGGTGAATATTTTGCCTTTATATTCTCAACAACAACAACAAAATAAAATATATGTTACTTCACACATATTTGGGTGGTTAGTCTCTTGTGTATTGTTGTAAAGTGATGTCAAGTTGGTTCCAACTCATAGTGACTGGTATAGGGTTTCTAAGGAGTGGCTGGTGAATTGGAATCACTAACCCTGTGGTTAGTAATAGTCTCTTGTTGTTTTTAAATATTGTGGAGTTGGTTCCAACTCAGAGAAACCCTGTATAAGGTTTCCAAGGAGCAGCTAGTGGGTTTGAACTGCCAACCTTATAGTTAGTTCACGGTCTAGTGATGATTCTACAGTTCCACACCAGGAGTACCAGTCTCTATTTTTGTTGTTGTTAGGTTCCATCGAGTTGGTACCAACTCATAGTGACCCTACACACAACAGAACAAAACACTGCTCATTTAGGCTCATGATGGTGGTGGTGGTGGTGGTATGCTGTGGAGTTGGTCCCAACTCATAAGGACCCTATATAGGGTTTCCAAGGCTGTAAATCTTTACGGGAGCAGAAAGCCTCATCTTTGTCCCACAGAATGGCTGGTAGTTTCAAACTGCTGACCTGAAAGTTAGCATCCCGATTTGTAACCACTCTATAACCACTATGCTACCAGAACTCCTATTTAGGGTCATAGCAACCCTAAACACAACAGAATGAAACAGTCTCTTAAGAATACATAATCCGGCTTTCTTTAAAAATAAGCTCATTTTGTGAGCCTTATTTTTAGGAACCTTTGAAAAAAAAGACAAATTTTAAGAAAGAGAAGTGGGGACAAAGAAAATGAATCAGTTGCTCTAAGTTGGCACTGGTTCACAGTGACCACATGTGTGTCAGAGTAGAACTGTGCTCCAGAGGATTTCTGGAAGTCGATCACCACTCCTTTCTTCTGAAAAGACCTCTGATTGAACTCAAACCCACAATCTTTTGGTTAGCAACCAAATGTGTTAACTGTTTGCACCCCCCCTCCTCAGGGCAATTCATAGTAAGCGGCTGGGTCGTTGTTTCCTTAAGGCCCTAACAGTTGTTCCTAAGTGGAAACTCTGATGCTCGATCAGTTGCCTCTGCTCTGGCTCAGACTTGGGTTAGCCTGATTGGGTTTCAGCCATAGAGAGATCAGTTGGAAACCTCTTGCTGAGAAGAGGGCCCAAATGAAAAACATGGCAGAGGAAAACTGATTGGAAAATATTTACTGAGAACCTACTAGTAAACTCAGTGAGCTAGTCCCAGGGTACACAGCAATGGTGAAATCAACATGGTGCTGTCCACATGGGGCATTGTCAGGTGAGAAGATGGGATTAAACAGCAAGCAAATTAACTAAATATCCTGCTACCAGTTATGTGAAGTGTTGCAGAGGGAAAGCATAGATTCCATGAGAGAGAATAACCAGGGGGTCTTAATTAGGCCCCTCTGAAGAGCAACTTTTAACCAGAAAGGGGAGTTGGAGTTAACAAGATTAAAGTTGGATCCTTTTATCAGTACTTGAACCTTGGGCCCAGGTGATGTATGAAAAACCCATAATTATATGGATAGAGTATCAAGGAGTCCATAGAACCATTGCTCCCACACCTCCTTGCCTCACATCAGAATTGACTATGGGTTATAAACTCTTCTGCTGGAAGTTGGGAGTTGTGATGGACCCAACGCCACCCTTTTTCCCAACCACCCCATCTTCTGGGATGATGAACGTGACAGGGTGAACGTTTGAAACTCCAGAAGCTCTGGGCAGACATGGTGGGGGCTGGCCTGCCGTGGGCCGTGGCCCACATCACTCACCCGGTAGGTCCTCTCACTGATGAAGGACTTGTCTCGGAGGCTCTCAAAGAAGGGAAATGGCTTGTGTATGGCATAGGAGATCTCCAGCTTCTGGTATATGAAGTGCTGAAGAAGAGCCTCTTCAAGAGCCCTGGTCACGGTGAACATCCTGTGGAAAGAGGTATGAGAATGTGAAAAGAGAAGAAAGACTCAGGTGCTTGAGGAGTCACTTTCTGCATTAAATGGACATCTACAGACAGAGCGCTGGTCCCAATCGGCATGTCTTAGCAGTCCCCAAAGCATGTCTGCCTAAAAGACTCATGGAGGAAGGAAACAATGGCCACTCCAAACAGCCAGGGGGCTGAGAGTGACCTATAAGACGATGCCAAAATCCAAACAGGCTGCTGGTAAACAAACAGCAAATAGTTCAAGTTTGTTGTTGTTGTTGTTAACAATTGTCAAGTTGGCCCCCACTCTTGGCAACTCCACGTGTAACAGAACCAGACATTGCCCAATCCTGCATCTTCTCCACAATCGTTGGCACATTTGAGCCCAGTCAGACCATAGTCTATTCTGTTACACAGGATTTCGTTTGTGACTCCTCAGAAGTAGATTGCCAGGTCTTGTTTCCTAGTCTGTCTTCACTGGAAGTTCTGCTGAAGCCTCTCCATTCTGGTGACTTTTGGCATTTAGAATACAGTTGGCATAGCTTCCAGCATCACAGCACCATGCTACAAGACTGACAGATGGGTGGTGGGATATTAAAAATTGCTAACATTTATTGTTTCCTGTGTGTCGAGATCGTCACATGTATTTACTTACTTTATCTTCACTTAATCCTTGAGATGTGACTAATATTTTCATACCCGTTTTATTGTTGGGAAAACTGACACATAGAAAGGTTTAATAATTTGCCCAAACTTGCACAACTTGGGAGTGGAAGAATTTGAATTGGAAACAAATTCCAATTTTCTGATTCCAGCAAGTTTAGATTAATCCAATAAACAAGGTAGGCACAGGTCCAATTGTACCTTCCCACCAGTATGCAGTGGACAATTTCACCTGTCCTCTGCCAAGTCAGAGATTCAGTGAAGCCCATAAGAAATTGCTCACCACAGATTAGCAAGTGAACACAATTAAGACCATGCTTACCTTGCTCAATGTAAACCAGCGTATACTTTGTTTACTGTAATGGCTTACTGGTTAATCTGCCCCTGGGTTCTAGGTTTATATCCATAAATGCTATGCGGTATGAGTGTTTTGGAGTGTTCATGGCTTTGGAGGATAAGCACTGGACTGCTAATCACAGGTAGGTGGTTCAAATCCACCAGCCTCTCCACAGGAGAAAGAAGATGCTTTCTGCTTCTGTAAAGATTTACAGACTCAGAAACCTTATGGAGTGGTTCCACTCATGAAATATTGAGAATAACCCAATGCATAGAGAAAGAGGGTAGATTAGTGACTCCTGGGCCTACAAGGAAGTGGGAATAGGGATTTACTTCTTAAAAGATACAGAGTGCTGACTTCTGGCGCTTCTCTGGCCAGGCAGCACAGGTAGGGCGGGCTCCAGGGGAAAAAACGGCGGGTGGTATTGCACAAAGGAGGCCCACATCTAGTAGACAGACAGCGTTTGAGCAAACATGAGACTTTATGTTTCAACATTCTGATCTTGCTTTTTTAAAAGATCAAATTGCTGAGGAATTACAGGCATTTTGAGCTTTTGTCCACCTGTACTCAGCTCCCGCTAGGGCGACTGCCTCTGCCCCCCTACAGAGCTTAGAGTGGGGGGGGGGGAAGAGCTGGAGTAAGCCCGTTCAGAAAGCGGGTGCTTCCAGAGGAGAGGAAGCATAGATGAGCAAAACCGCAGGAGTTAACATAGCCCTTGCCAAAGGGGTCTCCTCGCCATAGTAAGCCATATCAGCACGGATATCAGGCAATTCAGGGTACTCACAGTACAGAGAGACAGAAAGAGGCATTTTTTACGTCATCAGACACAGACGCCACCTGCCTGCAGCCACTACCCCCCACCCCCACCCCGCCCTTCACTGCCTCGGCCTTGGCCAGCCCTTTGCCCAGCCTCTGAGGCTTAGGCCCACCCAAGGCCCAGGCCCACAGCCCGGCCACAGAGGCCCAGGCCCAACCAAGGCCCAAATTGTCAGTCTTGTGGTGTTCTGATTTTATATTTTTTTCTTTGGTGTTGGGTAATTGGTGCGCTCACTGTTTGCCCACTTCCATTCTGGTGAGTAGAGGTAGGGCCTCACTGCAGGTGGTTTCTTCTGCAAGGATTCCACACAGACACTCAGCCCAAGCTGAGACACTGATGTGTCCCCTTTTTGGGTTGCTTTTTACCATGGGTAGCAGAGGAGTTCCGCTGTAGCTCTGTGGGTTAATGCGCCAGACTGCAAAGCCTTTTGAACTGCAAGGTCAGTGGTTCAAGCTCCCCAGCTGCTCCTTGGAAACCCTATATGGGGTCACTGTGGGTCTCCTTGGAAACCCTATACGGGGTCGCTATGGGTCAGAGTCGACTCCACAGCACTTAACAACAAGGAGAAGAAAGCAGAAGGGACTGAAAGAGAGTTAGGACATTAAAGACATACTTATATTAAGGTACAGATTTTTTCTTTTTTCTTTTTTCTCTTTTCCTTTTTCCTCTTTATCTTCTGCCCCTTTTCTCCCTTTTTTGTGAGTAGAGACCGCCATA